TTTCCTACTGAGAAGTTTTGCAAGGATAGTCATTATACGAAGGACTTACACAAATGGGGCCCCTGAGGTTGCCCAATGGCTTAAAATTGGTAAACACTGGATTCCTATGAGTGAGTCCTTTGTCGGCTTCATAATGGAACAAAATACTTATATGTAGAAAAATATTTTGAAATATCAGTGAAAATCACTACCACATGGCCACCGCATGTTCCATTTTCTTGGTTCTAGCTCCATTCGGGAAGCCGGGGTATTTCTCATTCATTGCTTCAAAAGAAGAGGGTCCCTGAAGAACTCAGAAACCAAAAGAGGATCATTCTTGGCTTTTGAGTTTTAAAAATTCGGCACTTTAGAGGTGGAAAGAACACAAAACAGGTATAATAGTTGCGGGAGGATCTAATAAATTGGAATGAGCCTTTCATCCTGGGGTAAGATTAAGGTTTGCCTGGTCACAGGGGTAGGAGTAGGGTAAATAGGAGTTGTAGGAAATGGAAGAGAGGGTAGATGTTCTAGCCTGTTCCATTGCTAATAACAGAAAATGCCCGAGTCTGGGTAATTTAAGAAAACAGAGTTTTAACTCAGTTCTCAGTTTGGAGGTCTGAGGTTCAGGGGCTGCATCTAGAGAAGTCTTTCTGGCTGTGTCACAACATGGCAGGTATGCGGGCAGGAAAAGGTGCATCTGTGTCCATGTGTCTGTTTTGGTCTCATCCTCTCTCCTTATGAACCCACCAGGAGTCAGGTTGAGGGACCCCACTCTGGTGACCTTAATCTTTTATTTTTAAATTTTTAAATATATTGAATCACTGTACATCATTTAGCTTGTAGAGAGAATTTACCCAATATGAAATACACCTCAGACCAGTCCAGTTGAGAATACTGTACACATTATCATCAACAGGTAATAAGCCATTTCTGTGTCCCACAAATGTATTACTTCTCTATTTTTCTCCCTAATTTCCTTCTCTACACTCTTCCCTTCTCCTACTCTCCTTCCCCACTGTCTCTAGTGTCCATAACTATTTTCACTGTTTTTTTTAAAAATTATTTATTTATTTAATTTTATTTATTCATTTGTTTATTTTAATTTGACCAGAGAGAGACACAGAGAGAGAAAGAGGGCAAGTGAGAAAGCAAGTCACCAGGTCCAGGACTCGAACCACAGCTGGCCATGTGGAAGTGTCCCGCACCTTAACCACCACGCTACCTGCTGGTCCCACTATTTTCACTGTTTTTATGCCCTCCAATCTTTCAGTCTCTACCATAAAGTACAGACAATCATTATGTGTTAAGTGGAAACATACAATGTCTCTCTTTCATAGCCCAACTTGTTTCATTCAGCAATAAATAGTCCATATTTTTTCACTTTCTATCAAATGCCAGGGTCTTGTTTTTATGGTTAAATAGTATTCCATGGAGTATATGTGCCACACTTTCAATCCATTATCTGTTCGTGGACATTTGTATTGGTTCCATGTCTTAGCAGTCGTGAATAATGCCGTGATAAACATAGATGTGCAAGCACTTTTCCAACATTCTCCTATCTTTATGGTAGATACTCAGGAGTGGAATTGCTGCATCATATAGTAATTCTATTTGTAGGTCTTTGAGGAACCTCCATATTGTTTTCCACAATGGCTGGACCAATTTACATTCCATCAACAGTGTAAGAGAGTTACCCTTTGGTGACCTTAATTTTAATCTCCTCGCAAAGACCCCACCTTTAAAAAAGATTTATTTAACTTTATTTATTTATTTATTTACTTGCTTATTTGACCAGAAAAGGACAGAGGGAGAGAGAGAAAGGGTAACAAGAGAGCAAACTCCCAGGTCCGGGACTGAACCATAGTCAGCCGTGTGGGAAGCTGGCGCCCTTAACTACCACATCACCTGCCAGCCCCTGACCCCACCATTTTTTTTTTTTAATATAGGGCATGTGTGGTCACCAGAAAAAGAGAGAGAGAGTGAGAGAGAGGAAAAGTGAGAAATCACCCCCCACAGGGAAGATGACCACTCTGCAGTCCCTTCTCCTCCATTTTCCTCTTGGGATTTTGAGTATGTAAACACATGTGCCTGGCATGATTTTTCAAGCCACCAGGTCCAGGACTTGAACCATAAGGTTGGCCATGTGGCTACCTGAGCCTTAACCTCCATGCCACCTGCTAGCTCTGGCCCCACTTTTTTTTTTTTTTTAACAGAGATTTTTGCTATAGGGAATGTGTATTTGCAGGAGAGACAGTGGCAGACAGAAACAGAAAGAGAGAAATCACCCCCTATGGGGCATGGCCACATCGCAATCCCTTCTCCTCTTCTGGGATTCTGAGCATGCATGCACATGCACCTGGCATGAGAGTCAAGCTGCCTGGTCCAGGACTTGAACCATGGTCAGCCATGTTCAAGTGCCTTAACCACCTGATGTTGCTACCAAATCTGAATACATGTTTGAGGAACACATTCAAATGATACCAGTAGTTGCTTTGGGAAAAGGGTGGGCGTAAGTCTCCTGGAGGGAAGTCCTAGTTCAGATGGGGGCAGTCTTGCTCCTTTTCCTGTTGGAACCCTAGGGAATCATGAGACCCCAGGTGGCATGGAAAGTCTGAGCAGACTGGCTGAATGCCTTCATAGGGTTCTTCATGGCCCAGTTTGATGCTGTGATGACAGAATATTCCCTGCCCTAGAGGGATTCGGAAATAGCAGAGAGGCCCGTCCTAAGGAGGCCTGAGGTGGGAAACAGTGTGTGATTCAGCAAGTATGGAATGACTTGTTGAAAACAATGTAAGAATGAGGACATCTCAGAGGGATGAGGTCACCTCTATCTTTCAAGTAGGCTAGACTATGCCAGGGTAACAAAAACAATAACAAAAGCAAATCTCAGTGGTTCAAACAACAAAGATGTGTTTCTCACATTACGTATCCACTGCAGATCAGCTGAAAAATCTATGTTGCATCAGCGCTGTCCTCACCTGGGGACCTGATAAAAAGTTACCAGTCTCTGTGGCTAAAGAAAAAAAAAAAATTTCTTCTGGAAATGCTACCTGCTCTTATGTTCTATTTGTTACAGCAAGTTGCATGGCCACACTGAAATTCAGGTGGTATGTGGGGAAATGCAACTCTTCTGTTTGTTTGGAAGAAGGGAAACTGGAACCTTTGCAAACAACTCTAATCATAACTACCGTGACCGTATCTTGGTGTATCAACTAACTTATGCCTTTTGTTTAAGAATTGGGGATACAATTCTGAATTGGCTTAGGTTAAGTTTTTGCCACCAGTCCGAATGAGAGTTTAAAATAGAAATTAAATTCACACATGAAATAATTAAATTTTTAGAACATTGAAGTTTTGTGCACTTATGTTTGTCTTTTTAGTCATGCCAAGTGCCACATACACTGCAGAGCTTGCAAGATCAAAAACTTGCTCAAAATAACAGCATCATGGGCCTGAGTCCACTGCCTGAGGATATCTCTCACTTTCTTACTAAGATTGGTTTCCTGGGAGGACAGGAGGGTTGGTTGGGAAGAGATAAGGAGATTGCTCCATTCCAACATAGGGGTTGGAATATAGATTTGGATTTGTTTATTTATATTTCTTTTATGAAAGAGAGAGAGAAGAGAAGGAGAGAGAGAGAGAGAGAGAAAGGAAACACAGATAGTGTTTATTTTGTGTGATTTTTTTTTCTTTTTTAGAGGGACAGCACCTCCAACAGAGTCCTAAAGCCCCAGCCTTCAGCCAACCCCAGATCATGGGCAAGTGTGTGCTAGTATATTCAGGAAAGATTCCCATGTGGGATTGCCTCTCAAAGCTGTGTTTTACTGCTATGCCACTGTCTAGCCCTGAGATGTTTTTTTGATAGAGTCTGACATGCTATGATCCTCCTGCTCCAGACTCCCAAGTAGCTAGGATTACAGGTGCATCTGTTGTGTTCTGGTCGACCTGGGAACTGAACCCAAAACTCCCATGCAGTTTCCAGCCTCCCACTGCTAGGCCTGGATTATTAGGTTTCGAAAAAAGAAAGGAAATAGAAGGACACTCAGCACCTGAAAGTCACAAATGAACATGGAAAGTTTCAGAGACAACTTCTACCTGCTTCTAAATTTTATTTAATAATAACAACAGGCATTCTTTATGGAGCCCCCCACTCCATGCCAGAGCCATCTCTTTGAATGTTCAGAATCAATGTAGATAGGAATCATTATCCTGGTTGGGAGAGGGTTTTTACCAGCCATGTTGGCAGTGGGCATGGTAGTTCCAGAGGCGCAGGGATTGGGGCTGGAGGTCAGCTGAAGAATGAGGCTGTGGCTGCAGGGCTCTGTCCTATCTAAATTTCTATGTCCGCTCTCCCATTCCTTTCATGTCT